TAATTTATCATAAATTTGGAAGTCTGGTAACTAGTTACCGTTTGATACAAAGATTAGTGGTCTAACAACTTCTAGTTTTAATTTTTTTTTTTTTTATCAGGAGAGGGATGGAATTTAAGAAATGGGGAAGGAGAAAGGAGATTTAAACTCGAGACGATCTAAATCCTACTTCCAATTTTAATAATGCATAATAACTTGTACAATTAACAAATTTCATTTTCCCAACACAAGCAATAGCAAATTTTAAACATATATATTTGAATTTTGAAGATGGGGTGTCACATGATATATTTACTTGTTATTTTGTTGTTAATTTTTTATCACTCCTGTCCACCAATTTATTTACATGTATTTAAATTATATAATTGTCACGTTGAATATGCTTTGCACGTACGTAACACGTAGTCTGTTATACTATAAATTTTGTGATTATTACAAATATGGAAAATACGTAAACAAACAATGCCAATATTAAATAATGAATTAAACCATATTAAAAGTTTGTTCCAAATATACAATAAATAATCGTGGCAAAGGTAAACAAGTAGCTATTCCAATGTTAGAAGGGAAGGAGGATTTTTTGAAAATGGCTAAGTAGGGAAAACACAAAAAATAAGAAAAAGAGAATGCAAATAAATTACAACAAGGGTCATTTTTTTAACATATTAAAATGAGTGTCAAGTACCGATAAAAGACAGTTCATTGGAGTAAAGTACAATTAAAGCTAAAGTTAAAGGAGGTTTTACTGCATCTAAACTCTTATATTAATATAAGATTTTAATCGTATATTGCTTATAACAAAACAAAAATATCCTTTAACATGTTAATCACTAGAGTCAGCTTAATGGTCAGTTGAGGGCTCTTACAGTCTTTCCCACTGTCAAATTTAGAGTTCAAATTCTGTGCTTGACAATTGAGGATTATACACACACACATACATACATACATACATATATATATGGGTGGGTATATATATAAATATTTCCTTAAAAATTCCGTCTAATGGGGTACAGTTTATAGAGGCTAAGTGCTAATTTTTTTTATAAAAATTAAGCTAAATTAGAAAAGAGCCTACACACAAAGGAACAATAAAGTAAATTTGACGTATTTTAATCATCTTGGGTTATCCCATATTTGGTTGCATTTTATATATGAGATGATACATTCTAACTAATCGAATTAATCTCCTATTCATGGAATAAAATAATCCCATGGAGGAGGTGGTATTAGTCATCCCTGGATGACTAAGAGATAGGATGATGCAATTTTAGACTAATATATCCTTACAAATAAGATAAATTTATACTCTCATAATTATATAACCTTACCTTTACATGATAATATAACATGAATGGACTAATTTGCCACTACTAATTAATCTAAAATTTTTTGACTAATTTGCCCCTACTACTAACAGAACAATATTTGGACTAATTTGCCATTACGAATTATACAAATTCATACTGAAAATTATATAATGAAACCCTCACACAATAATATGATAATAAATGGACTAATTTGCACCTACTAATTATACTAAATTTCTCAACTAATTTGCCCCTATTCATTATTTTAAATTTTTGACAAATTTACCCCAATTAATTAATTTAAATTTTTTGACTAGTTTGTCCCTACTTACATCATAATAAAAGGACTATGTTGCCCTTACTAATCTGATTTTCTCAATCAAATTCTATATAAGTTCAAGCTCAACCCAAAGAAAAATATTTAATTGGCTTGAGCGTGGCTCATTTAGAACTCTTAAAGGGTTGGATTTTATTCAATTTAACCGTAATTTAGTCAGAACTCGGGCCATTATTTAATTAAATTTAAAATTTAGATACAAAAACTAGGTTAGAACCTATTTTTAAAGGTCAAAATGGGCTGAGTTTGAGTGAATGCAAATTTTTATATATCAAAGCCCTTGATTTACTTTATAATTCTAAAGTTTAAAATTATTTTATTTTAATAAATTTTTTAAATTATTAAATTATTTTATTAAAATGATCCTACAAATTAAGGGGTATTTTGGTCATTTAAATAGTAATCCTATCTCATTCAATCTCCAACCAAACACAGGATAGCATTATTTTCCAATATATCCTATTCAACCTAGAATCAACCGAATACTAGATGATTTGGATTATTAATCCGAGGATGACTCAATACAGGATTAATAATCTAACTCATTTCATCCAATTCGTGTACCAAACGAGCCATTAATTTCCTTTGTTTCCTATTATTCTTAATATCCCTCCAATTTCTAAATCTTTCCACGGCCAAAACAACAACCTTTTAACCTCCCTTTTCTAAATTCCCAACCCATCACACCATATAACACTGGTTTTTTCATCTTTTTCTATTCTTTTTATGATGAACTCGAGTCTAGTTTTTTGATCCATTGAAGAAAGAAGAGAAGATGGAGAGCCTAGTAACAAGGAGGAAGAGGATGAGATGAGTTTTGTGCTTTTTTTTTTTTTTGTTGGATCTTTTGCAATTTTATTGGGTGTTCTCAAAGGCACTGCCAGTTTTATTTTTTTTTTTTTTTATCTATTTCCCATCCACTTTTGTTGTTTCTTTGAGTTTTGTTCTATGTTTTCTTTTTAAGCTTTAACTGGAATTACTAAAAATGAATGATTGCCAAGGGATATTTTTTGGAAGATTGAGTTGGATTTTGGCAGCTCTTAGATTGGGAATATTAGTCTACTGCCGGACCGGGGCATTTTGTTACTTGACTTTATGGTTCAAGGGGTTGATTGTTATTTTCCAGATCTCAGGGGGAATGTTGGTAGTTTGCCCAAAGTACATAGGTGGTCGGATGTAATTAACCCCAAGTTCTTGACCTCTACTTTGGCCATCCGTTGACCGTCGCTCCTAACTCCCGCGTAATCTGCGATTTAGGAAAGCAAAACTTTAAGTATTCGCAATCACAAGTCGCATACCTTAAAAACACCGACTTGACTTGACTTGACTTAATTTAGGAAACAAGCGGTACAAAAATAGGAAATTCCGATCCCAACGGAACTATTCCTTCCTTTTCTGAAAAGATACACGAAAAATCTATCCACATTGCTGATGATTCAAGCTTCTCCCTTTTCCATTCTATATAAGTTCTACTGGCTAGATTCTTGGACGGGATTTTCAGTTATCAGTCCTGGCCTCTAGGACTTTTTGATTTTTCTTCTTCTGTTCTTTCTCTGCCTGCAAAATTCTTCATGGATGTCATGACAAGATCTTCAGTTTTTGGTAGATTGGGCGGAAAGCAGCAGTGCCAGCATTACTATGTCAAGAATGATTATCCAGTAGTTGTTTGTAAGTATTGGCTTGCTGGAAAGTGCAACAGAAATCCCTGTAGATTTCTTCACTCAAATTCACCAATTTCACAACCAAAGCGATCAACTTGGACCAATCCCAATCTCTCCTCCTCCAGCAGCTCTAAGAATAATCCAAAAGTTTCGTCCTCCAGTAGTAGTGGTGGTGATGGTGCTAAGGAGGAAAGTAAGTTTTCAAGAACTGCAGAGCTAGCCTCCGATTGTGGAGCAAGTGGTGAAAAGGGTGATCAGAAAAAGCTGTGCAAGTATTGGATTACTGGAAACTGTGTTCATGGTGATAAATGCAATGATTTGCATACATGGTTTCTTGGTTCTCGATTCTCCCTGTTGACGAAGTTGGAAAGGCGGCACAATAAGGCTGTTGCGGGAATTGCACTTCCATCTGGATCAGATAAACTCTTTCCAGGCAGCAGGGATGGGCATGTCTGTATTTGGGATTGCCACACTGGCGGCTGTGTTAATGTTGTTAATCCCAACGAAGGCAGGGAGATTGGATGCCTAATTACTGAAGGTTCGTGGGTTTTTGTTGGTTTGCACAATGCTATCAAGGCATGGAATATTCAGACTCAAACTGAAGTTACACTTCCTGCAGTTGGTCTAGTTAAGGCCATGGTTGTGGGCGGTGATTCTGATGAGATACTCTTTGGTGGTGTCCAAGATGGTACAATTTTGGCATGGAAATATTCGAGTTGCTGCACTGAATCGATGGCAACGCGTAAGGGTCATAGGCTTGCTGTTCTCTCCCTTATTGTGGGAGCCAATAATAGGCTATACTCAGGCTCCAAGGATGAAACCATAAGAGTGTGGGACATTAGAACCTTCCAATGTCTGCAGACACTAAAGGGTCAAACTGATTTTGTGACCTCTCTTAGTTGCTGGAACCAGTACTTGTTATCTGGATCTTTGGATAACACAATAAAGGTGTGGGCGTCAATCGATGATGAAGGAAATATAGGAGTAATCCATGAGGTTAAAGAAGAAAGTGGTATAATTGCTCTAGGTGGAATAGAAGATGCAATTGCAGCTAAGCATATATTGCTCTTTTCTTATAAAGACAATTCAGTACGACTGTACGAGTTGCCTTTTTTGGCTGAGAGAGGCAGAATATTTTCAAAGGCAGAAGTTGAGACAGTTCAAAGAGGTTATGGTGATCTCTTTTTCACTGGTGATGCTACTGGAGAGGTGTCTGTTTGGAAACTGCTTGACGAGCAGACAACTGCAGCAGACTGTGCCTCAATATGAAAGCTTTCCTTGGATTTTCCTAGTCAAATTGTAGAAGCAAAAAACTTCCATACATGCATTCTTCAAGGAACTGTACAGTCGAGGATGAATAAGCAGAACATGTTTTTGCCTTTGTTAATCCATTCTCTTGTTTTATGTTTTAATCTTATATGTATAAAATTTGACTGTTTTAATGAGACCAAGCGACCAGTTGATGAACTTGATTTTTAAGTGATTTATGCTCTCCTACAGGTGTTAGCAAAACGGCTACAGATGAAACAAATCATAATTGAATATTTACGTTTTTCCCTTCTTTTCTTATGCCTGAATAGTTTTAGCCTTTAGGGTGTCAATCAGAGATCATGAGCTTGCCTGAATACTATTGCAAACGGTTAAAGCTACACCAAAAATTTGACATCTTAATTGGAAAAGAAAAAATAAAGCACGGATTCAAACGCCTAGTGTTGAAATTAAGATAATAAGAAGTCAGACATGCAGCTTTATTCTTTACCTGCATGATGTGTACATAGCCTTTGTGATATATTTGAATGCAAATGCCAATTAGCCTAAGTTACACAAGGGCCAGCATCAAAAGGCACTGAATTCATGCTACACACCAAGGATTCAAGTCGCCCAATGTCTCTAGGTTGTATCGTAACTTTGCATATTACTTTCTCACCCAGTACAGTGCATTTCATTGTGGACCAACCAAAACTTCTTCAATGACAAGGCAATTGTCCCATTCGTTGGTGTTACCATTCCCCAAGGTTGTGAAGCATCACCAGTATCTACCCAGCTTCTTGCACCAAAGTCTTTTTCCAGAGAATTAAATCACTTTTGATATTCTTACCCCCAATCTGCTCCAAGTTAATGTAATCAGCTCTACTGTATAAACTCCTGCAATTATCAGTGACAATCCATTGCTCTCGTGAGCCAAGAGTTGCTTTCTATTGCTTCTCATATTTGCATTTACTCATGCATCGATATTTCACTCAGAATCATTTCAGTAGCTTCTCCCCAGTAAAATCACAAATCATACCAATCCAGCAGAAAATTCTTCAATGGGCATCATTTATGCTTAAATTCAGAACAGCGTTCACCTATTGATGGACTCGTGCATTAATGATGTCATTTGCCTCTATGCTTAAATTCAGACTAGGGTTCACCTACCCATGGACTCGTGCATTAATGATGTCATTTGCCTCTTTTACACCAGCCTACCTTCTAAGAAGTACAAAATTTAGTTCAGAGAGCCACACTGTACCAAGCCCCTTGAGAGCCACACTGTACCAAGCCCCTTTCGGAACAATTATCCTGTTCAAGATCAAGAAAGCAACCTTTAGCTAGAAACAACAGTTAAACCAGGACATGAATCCACATACAGCTAAGGTTTACGTCAGCAAGTAAGCAGGAAGGAAAGACACCTCAATAAGAAGACAAACACAGACGAAATACATCTACCATCTTCTAATATTAACTCCAAGTGACAAACCGAGGCCTTTCTTTACATAGATAAGCAACGGATACCCTCAGATAGTAATTTGACATGGATATGTACAATTACATGCATTCTTGCAAGACAGTTTAAAAAGGTCATTCAGAGCAAATTATAAAACTTATATTGGGATGGTAAACATGCTGAAAAATGTCAAATCTTCAATTTGATTTCTTTGTAGAAACATGTCAATACAAGTGTCAAGACCGGACACTAAAACCTCAAATACTCTTGCACTTACATTAGCAGCCATGCTACGCTTTAGATGACTGAATTAAAAGACTTGGCACGGTCCTTGATTGAGTACTAAAACATTATTCAAAAGAGTAGCATTAAGTAAGGCTTACAGAAGATTTCATGTTCGGTTGTTCCAATACTCATCTCAATTCCTCATGATAAAGCCAACTCCTCTATATGGTCCCAGAATAAAAGGAGAAGGCCTATGAGAAAAGTTACACCATCAATCAAGAATGTAAAGTGCAATTCCCTCAACCCCTTCTTTTGCACATAACTGTTAATATAATTATTTATTTTCTGATCTTCAGGTAATACAATATTTTTTTAAGTAATGATTAAGGAAATTTGTCAACTTTACAATGTGAGCAAAACAAGACTTTACGTATTTACTATTTCATATCAGAATTTCCAAGCATGGGTATGGTAAATGTTAAAAATGCACCTTTCCTGGATTGGGTATCAATCCAAGTCATACGCATGTAGCTTAATAGAACTTGCTGGATGAAGTCAAAGACCCTGAAGAGATATTTCCAACTGCTCCATCCTTTTAGCCAAATCATGCTTCCCACAATTTTTCAGTCCATCACACACCATGTCAAAGTTTCGTGACATGGGCAACAAATTCAATTCTGTCATCTCTACTAAATAATTGGCAGCCTCAACAAATCTGCCGCCACGAGCACACATCTTTATTAACATAGTATACACTGGTCGATTTGGTGGATGTCCTTTCAGCTTCATGTCACTGAAAAAACTCAACGCATCATCAAACAGTCCTTTCCGACAAAGAGCTTTCAGAATAGGAGCATATAGGCTAGGAAATGGACGGGTCCCATCCTCTATACATCTATGAAGAAACTGAAATGCGTCATCAATCCTCCCTACTTTTGAGGCTGAGGTTATCATAATCTTGTATGTCTCCACATCAGGACAAAGCCCTAATCTACAAACATCACGAAAAAGATCAACGCAAAAGTCAATTTCTCCAGATTTACATATAGCTTCAGCTAGAGAATTGAATGTGGCTACATCAGGAACAAAACCCTCCTTCATCATCTTCCTAACCAATCCTTTTGCAGATTCAACATAGCCAGCATTCAACAATCCATCTATCAAAAGGTCCCGACCACGCACAGGAGGATTATAGCCCTTTCTACTCATTTCCTCCAAAAATTCCTGTGCCTCCCTCATCTTTCCTGCTGAGCACCAGCCATTAACAAGAATTGCATAAGTCTTTTTGTCAGGCACAGAACCTTTGCGTAACATCCTTCGAATCAAAGCATAAGCCCCTTGGAAATTCTTGACCTCACAAAGAGCAAATAGCAATGAGTTGTATATTTCTGTTGTTTGTGGACAGTTGAAGTTTTTAAGACGATTGAAGAGCTCAACAGCTTGGTCGATAAGCCCATGCTTACCATAGTGTTCAATGATGAATGAAACAACAGAAGGTGAAATAGGGAGGTTCTGCACTTTCATCTGATGGGCTACCTTCCACATGGTCTCCCAGTGGCTAGTACGAGCAAGGGTCTTAAGAAGCTCTTCAAACTCAAGTGTTGTTGGATCATAGTTTGGGTGGTGGGTTCTTGCCCAATTAAAGAAACGGAAGGACTCAATACCACTGCGGCAGCAGCTGCGCAGCACTCGATAAACCAGCTCTGAGTTGACAATGTTGGAAATGCACATTTTATTCAGCGTTCTTTCCATGTAGATATCTCGCCGTATAATGTTAGATATATGATGAATGGTTACAAAGTAGTCATCATTGGAAGTTCTGCCCTGATTACCGCCAGAAACAGCAGCAGTTGATAAGGCTTTCAGACAACCAAGGATGCCAGTGGTGAAAGAGTGTCCAACAGCAGGACAAGCTCTTCCATGTAGACTGAAGCTAGAAGCGAGGAACATTTAGGTGGTGGCACAGTTGTGATTTCTTTGGTTAGGAAGTTTGTTTATTTGCATATGTTTAAACAAACTTTAACCAATTGACTCCAGTTCTGATATTCAGAATCCTTCGGTTAGGTGGAGAGAAACTGGAGATAAACTACAGCTTAGACTAGGGAAAGAGAGCAAGCGCATAATACAGGAGAAGCAATACTAATTCACCAAATTAAACATGACAGAGAAAAAATAAGCCACTTCAAGAGTAGGTCTCATTCAGAAATCCAGAACAGATCACAGTGTACACAATAGGCTCAAAATATGCCTAACATCTTAAAGCCCATAAACTATAAATACAAAAAAAGCAAATGAAAATTAAGAGCTATTTAATCTTATTGGATTCTGAAAATTGATGGACAAGAAACAAAAATAAAGAAAAAGAAAAAAATAGAGGAAAATGGAAAGAAAACTAAGTGGACTCTCTAGTCTCCAAAACCTTGATTACATTCTAATCTTCTTTTGTTATTAAATAATGAACTAATTAAGAAGGGATTACTCAAATAAACTAATTGTCCCATTTACAAGAAGTCCTCTTCGTATGAACAAAATTAGCACCAAATCAGTGGTTATCCTCTTTTCCCAATATTCTTTGTTTGTTTAGCCAAGAAATCTTTGCAGTATCTTTTGTCCACATAAAAGGTGCAACTTAATACCAGGTAAAGCTTACAATGATTCCTTTTCCATTTAGTCCTACACCAATTCTATACCGATCTAGATATTGATTAGCAATAATCTTTCAATTACTGAGCTAATTCGCTTTAATGGCCAAAATTCAAATCATAAACTTTAAACACTGCTGGTAGCTTCCATATTGTACCAGTACACTAAACCATTCCTCAAGCTCAAAAGAAACTCCTAGCCCGAAGGACGCAATCATTCACTCAAAATCCTAAATGCAAATCAAATTCCATCATCTGCTCGACGAATGTTGTTGCTCAATTCTCATTCATCAAGTTTATAAGAAATTCCAACTACGAAGTACATGATCATTCAGAAAATCCTAAAAAGAAAATGAAATTCAATCTGGTGGAAGAAAATTTTCCTTTTTCCTTTTCTTATATCAAGCCAGCATCTTCGGTAAATTTGTTTGCTTAGTAAATTAGATTTCTGTTGATTAAGAAGCTTGGAGGGCATCAAACAAAACACCAGTACACCCAAGTAGTCATATAACCTTTCTTTCTCATCTCCCTCACTACATTAACGCTTAATTATGGTGTCAAAGTTGAAGCTTTAGGACTGAATGTGTGCGATTTCACAACTAAAGTTAAGAATTCACTTCAATTCAGTCGACTGAATAACCCACGATTTCCTAACACAAGCAGACTAAGAGTTACACGGGAAAAAAAACACTTGGGTCACCAACCTGTAACAATCCGGCGAAGCGACGGCGGTAGCGGGGCACAATAACCGGCTATTATAAAAATCCGAAAAGAAAAAGAAAAAACGAAAAAGATCCAAACTTGAGCCACCTTGAAATTGGAAAAAAATGTCGTCAAACAAGAAATGAAACCATAACAAAGCCAAATTATGCCAATGGATGAGGCTGAATGTGAGTATTTAATAGCCAAGTTAGTAGCAGTGGAAGCAAATTCGTAGCGTTGGAGCGACGGAGGAGATTAGACGGAGAGAAGAGAAATGAGAATAGACTGGACGCATCATGTGGGAGGGCTAATGGAGAAGGAAAAGTCTCAGAATGAACTGGTGGATCTGGGGACTAAAAGAATGGAAGGAGGGGTATTTGCCTAATCGGTGAGAAACTGGAGGAGGGGGCTACAGGAGATTAACATCGGATTGCTAGGTTGGGCATCACCAGACCAATCAAGCTTAATTTGAATTCAATCGAGGGTAAGTTTGGTTCTACAGAATTAGAATTGAATTAGAATTGAAATTCTATAGAATTGAAATTCTATGAATTGAAATTCCAAGCCATTTCAATTCTTTCGTTTGGGAAATGCATAGAATTGATACATAATTTATTTGAAATTCCAAATTCTTTGTTTGTATGAGAGAAGAATTCATTAGGAATTAGAATTGTTTTCACGAAACATTTGCTTACATAAAATTTTTCTTTTTTTTTCTTTTTTATATAATAATTTCTTTTTTTCTTACATTTAGCTAATTTTTACTAAAGATTTAAAAGAAAGAACCAATTTGTGCCTTTAATAATTTATTTTTTCCCACTCACATATCAATTTCTTTGGTGAACATTTCCAGACTTAGATTATGCTAAGCACAGCATTAACAAGACGTGTCATATTGACTGCCTTCTTTTGTTCAAGTATGGTATAGATATTGGCATCCAACCAAAACTGGACCTCACCCCCTTAAAAGTAAATCCCCAATGACACTAGCATATTTCTTAAAACATGGCAGAATACTAGACAGTGAATTAGTCACTAATTAACTCAAATAGTACGTTTGTAAAACAATTTAATTAACATTCTCAACAAATAAATTCAGTTTACTATTCGAATTCTGAATCTAACAGTTGATGGTGGAAAAGGGTGTGGAGAAAGGTGGAAGGACCAAAAAGAAAAAAAAATCCAACATGCCTGAGTTATACTGGACACTATTTTTTTTTATTGCGGTAATTCAAAAAAATAAGGATCCAATGGCTAGTAAAGGAGCCACTGACTGCATGAAAAAGACGAAGCACTGCCAAAGCTTATTTTATCACCCTTTTAATACGTGTTGATACTCATATGCATACTTGCTACTGCTGCTATTTCTGCAGTCCAGTAGTGCACTACACCTCCTCTTCATGTAGGGCAGTGCAGCATTTGGAGGCACGCCACATCAACATATACTCATTCAAAGTTCAAACATCCACCTTGTCAATTGTTTTACAAACGTACTATTTGAGAAAGAATGCAAAGGTTCATGCAGCTAAAGGACAAGTCAGGGCATCAACACAGGCAGCTATGTTAATCTCAATATCTGAAATGCTATTTCATCAGACAAAAGACCCAATGTTCCATTCTTATCATCTCAAAAACAGATAGAAAATAGCTGAAATATTCCCTCGAATCTTTCTATAATCTTGTCACAGATATATTGAGTTTATCGAATAAAGCATTCATTACTGCAGTGTAGGCTACTGTTTTCCATGCACATTTACCATCCAATTTGTTTCCTTGGTTCATTTGGTCAATAAAACAAGTGCCCATTACACGATCCATTTCAGGAGTCCAAGTGAAATACCCTTTGCCTTTCCCTTTTGACTGAGATGTTGCTTCAGATGCCATATCTGAGGCAGATATGCACCAGAAAAACATCACAATGTCATGTTCTTAAGAACATATTTAATAGCTACTGCATTATAGAACTAAAAATGAAAGGCAAATATGCACCTGAAAAATTCATACATATGTTCAATGAAGAAAAATTCATTCAGTGCCAACAGATATGGCAAGATATCAGCCACAGGTTTGGGGAGAAGAGGTCTCAGGAGTCAAGTAATTAGAAACAGTCTTAAGTATGAAGAGGTTTGGGGAGAAGAGGTCTAAGTAGTCTAAAGTATGAAGAAACAGTGGTTATTGACTGGCATACCTATTTGAGTTCTGCTGTGTGTTATCTGGACAAACAAACAGGAAGTCTAACTGGGTTGATGCCAAATGTGATAGTGCAACAATTTAAAACAAGAAGTTCAAGGGACATAATTGATCTTCTGTGTCACCTTGAGGATACCGTTGTGATTAGTTATTTGATTTTTAATTGAGTTATTCATGCAATTTAGTCTAACACTTCCAAGAATTTCTTGGTGTTCAATTCCTGTCAGATACGTCCGCAGCAGCAAGGAAGCAAACCCAACAGCCTTTTTAAAATCATCTCTTAGGAAACGTCAAAAATTTTGCAGTCTTAACTTGTGTTAATGGCTCTTATTGCTTTTACTCTTGACAATGAAGTATATCACAAAGGCGCTAGCCCTTGGGAAAGCCCCTTTATCTGGATTATAATCTGTTTGAATTTGGTGGAGAATTGGGGATCACATCACAGGTTATGATGATCATACTTGTGACAGAATATGCATTAAGGATGCAAATGTGATTCTTCAAGACAGATCCATGGGAGGCTAAAGAATTTTGTAGACAACAAGCTACGAAGAAGGGCATATGCATTAAGTTATTTGGGGTCAAGCATATGGCAATTATCCAATCTCAAAAAGGCACATTGTTTGCTAGCCATCAGGGTAGTCAATACTAGGCCTGTCAACGGGTCGGGTCTAGACCCGGATCCGGACCGGATCCGTGAAATTATTGCGGGTATGGGTAGGGATTTAATTCCGTTTTCCGGATCCGGATCCGTTTTGTCAAACAAAAAAACGGGTCGGATACGGAATATAGTATTCCGACCCGTATTAGACCCGGATCCGGATATAAATGAATTAATAATTTTAAAAATATATATTTATCAATATAATTTGATTAGAGTGATGTATTTTAATAAAGTTAATTTGATTTCTTTTCTTATTTGGTTTTTTCTTTGCATTAGTTAAAAATTAGTTTACAAATATATTTTTTTTTCATTTTTATTAGAAATTATAAATTTTGCTAAATTTGTTCGGGTAGACCCGGATCCGGATCCGGGACCCGCCGGATCCGGATCCGGAACATAGAATAAAAGACCCGTCGGATAAACGGGTCGGGTCCGGGTCCGGGTCCGGCATAGTAATTCGGGTCCGGGTCCGGAATAATGAATTCCGGCCCGGACCCGGCCCGTTGACAGCCCTAGTCAATACATCAAACACAGGATGTTCATCAAAATAGTCAAAGGTCGAAAACTAGATGATTGTTCATTTGATCTGCTCAAGAAATATACGGTACACACAACAATTTTGCAGTTAAAGTATACTAAATGCCCTGTTTTTGTGGCAAGTGGAGTGAGAGTGCTTAAATTTTCTGCATGCTCCAGTGACTTAGAAACTTTTTCTCGTTTCCTTGCTTCCATGTCCATATCAGTGGCATGCTACAAATATTATTCATTTTCATACTAAAAATACAAAAAGTTTCCCTAACAAGTAAATTCCTCAATTTTTCCAACCCGCAATTAGGGGTGGCAATTCCTGACACGACCCGAAAACACGACACGAACCTAACACGAAATTAATGGGTTTGGGTTGAGGTTTTGGGAGTTCGGGTCAGAATCGGGTCGAACCCGATGAACCCGAAAAGAAAACAGGTCAATTTCGGGTCAACCCGTGGTGACCTGATATGACCCGATGTGACCCGTTTACGAATTAAAACTAATTTAATAAACATAAAAATTATTTTATCTAACTAAACTAAATCATTCTTTTTTTCCAAAGGCATTAATTACTTAATCCTAAATGAATTTATTTAACTTGTGTGAAGTTAAAATTATTATATTTGGACAAATAATATATTATGTTATTTTTTACTTTTATGTTGTTTTAATTTAAATTATATTTGGTTTGGAATAAAACACTTTTATGGTGTTTAATTTATTTTAGATTTGGTTTGAAATTATTTATTTAAATTTTTATTACTTGATGATGTAATTAATTTTGTGAAAAAATTGATTTTATTAGAAATTACAGTGATAAATTAATAAATTAAAATTAAGTTTCGGGTCATTTCGGGTCGACCCGCCAACCCGAAATTTTCGGGTTCGTGTCAGGTACCCTGACCCCATTTCGGGTTGGCGGGTCGGGTTCGGGTTAGCAGGTTCTTTGTTATACTTAAGCCTCAACCCGACCCGCCAACCCGAACCCGACCCGTTTGCCACCCCTACCCGCAATGATCAACAAGCAAAGAATATAGAAAAATAAAAAAAAACCCTTTTCCCATTTTTCATGCTAATTTCAAAAACACATGGAGATGAATACGCATTAGCATCTAATAAAATATTTGACAACTACTTCACCAACAATTGATTAATCATACAGAGGAGGCAGGGGAATAAACGTATATATTTTGAAAATTTTGTCAAATAAATTTGTTGCATATGACCTGCAGAGATTGAGCCCCGGAGATCCTGAACTGCCCTGTTGTTCAAAATGGCATCCCAAACAGCTTTGTCGCAGGAGATCGAGGCCACCACGTTCTACAATTTAAGTACGCAGGAGATGTTCAATGCTGGGAAAAGGCATGTGAGGAAGATGAGTAAGAGGAGAGACAAGGCGTCAGTGATGGAAGTATAGGTGGAGGCAGAGGAGGAAGTATGGGAGGAGGCGGAGAAGGAAGATGTGGAGGAGAGCACAAGAAATGGTGGTTGGTCTGTGACGAGAGAGAGAGAGAGAGACCTTCATTTCAGTTTTGTTTTTGTTTATTATACGGAGACCCGTAAATTTACTGATTTAATCCATCTAGGATCCGCGTATTAACCCGGATAGGAGGTGAAATTATCGAATTGGAATTAATTCTTAGGTCTTACCAAAGAATTAAATTTGTGGAATTGATGGCTCATAGAATTCGAATTGAATTCTAATTCTCTCAACCTGGTAGCATCCAAACCGAAGATTTGGAATTGATGCTCCAATTAAAGCCTCCAATTTGTGGGAACCAACACACCTCTAATCAAGTTTAAATAACAGTATAAATTTTTATTCATATTATTTTAATCAATAGATATTGTAGGCATTTCACATTGATAAATAAAAAAAAAAAATATATATATATATATATATATATATATATATATATATATATATATATATATATATATATATATATATAAATCTCGATTGAACACGATTAATTTAAAGAACTTTCGAGTTTCACATATTAGATTTGCTTTCAAACTCATCAAATAGGCTAAGTTATTCGAACTCAACCAACTTGAGTTGAAAGTTCAAACTTTAATCAAATAAGTTTA